GTCCCCATTACAGGTAAACAAACACAGCCAACTGGTGCACACTGATGCTGACACACTCACGCCCCCCCCCCCCAAGGTGCTGCTCCCTAGTGCAGAACACATCAAGAGAGAAAACAATGCACCCTCTTGTGGAAGGAGCACTGTGACGTGACCAACAGGGGCCCTGGAATGAACACAGTTGTAAGTTCACATCCACTCCTCCAGCCAAGTTCCATTTTGCCAAGCAAATTCACATGGAAGGAAAGGTCACAGCAGTCATACGTTTCTGTAGACCACTCTACAGATCCAGCTGCAATAGAATGGCTGAGACCAAGGGTTTAGTTCATGGGCAGTGTGGAGACTGGGACCACCAGCCTTCTGCCACGCAAGGGGAATGTAGGCATTGCAGGAACAAGAAGAGAACACAACAAAAGGTATTCCTGTCCACTCCTAATAGCTCACTGGGGAAAGGCACCCATGTGACAAACTGGAGGCAATCTGGGTTTGGATGCCATGGGAAGGGGAGAGGGTGCTGGCAAGAAGGCCAAGTTCACCTTTTGGCCAGAATCAGGCTGATCAGCAAGAGAACAAGAGGGAAACGTCAGATGAGAGCTGTCACCTCATATACTCAGGAACAGTTCCCCCAGCCACTCACTCAACTGGATATGCAAGAACAACATCAGGCATCCCCCCAGTAGCAGCCCTATTGTTGATACCAACCAAATGGTGCAAGGCATGGATGGAAGAAGCCAGAAAAAGGCACAGGTACAGCGCACCCAAGGCCTCTAGTTCAAGTCCCAGATGGGAAAAGCTTTAAGGCAGACTGGGTGGAATCCCAAGCACAGCTGAGAATTTGCCCTGTCAAAGTAAATGACATGTGATAGTTTACTCATGCTGAGTGGCTGCGCTACCCACCTATTATTTTAGCCAGAAAACCCCCACATTCCATCTCCTAGCTGCACTCAGGGGGCTCATTACTACCACCCCCTTCCATTTACCCTGGTAAACTTTGAGCTCCACCTTTATCACCATCCTCATCTCCCATGTAAGCTGACTGACTTATCAGATGCCAGCTGGGAACTTGGAGAGTATGCAGCCTCTGATCCCTTCTCCTCCCTCTTTGCAAGTGCATATTTGCAGGTGCATACACTGGACTGCCCTTCACCACGGCACCATGGTGTGTGAGAGCCAGTTTGGTGTAGTGGTTAAGTTTATGGACTCTAATCTGGGAGAACCGGGTTTGATTCCCCACTCCTCCACTTGCACCTGCTGATGTGGCCTTGGGTCAGTCACAAGCTCTGGCACAGCTGTCCTTGGAAAAGAGCAGTTTGTGTCAGAGTTCTCTCAGCCCCACCCACCTCACAGGGTGTCTGTTGTGGGGAGGGAAAGGGAAAGGAGTATGTAAGCCGCTCTGAGACACCTTTGGGTTGTGAAGGGCGGGGTATAAATCCAACGCCTTCTTCTACGTCTTCATGTGAGATGCATACCGAAGACAGATGAGGTTAGTAACAAGGAGGGGGCGGGAAATGCACCTGATCTATCAAGCCCATTCAGCAATACAATTGATCAGCATCATTAATATGGAAAGCAAGTAGGTGAATGGGTTTGTCAGCTTTCTTGCTCCATTAAGGATCCTTGCCTTTATGAGGTGTACTGATAGAATGTAGAGTCACAGGAAGAGCTGTCCAAATCACTGCATGCCCATGAAAGGGACAACTGTGTTGGCTGAACAACCATCCGTTAAGCATTCTACAAGGCTACAAGAGCTAAATTAGAACAAGAAAGGTAGCAACTCTACAGCATAGCAGTTAAAGGCACGCCCAATAGTGCCTTGACAGAGTCTGCAGCTCCCACCTCCTTTGACTACCTGTTTGGGGTACATTGTCATTGTGATGCAAATTGGGTGAATAGTCTGTATCTTGAAATGGAGTAATATATCTCAAACTCTGAGATATGTCAAGATGTTTGGGAGATATGTCAAGGTTGTGTTGGGGTGCACCCAGACTAGAGAATCTTAAAGAGTTAACAGTGCTATCCTAAGGACATTTTCCTGGTGAAAGTCCCATGTAATAGAGAGAGAGCGGTGGCGCAGGCGGTTAAATGCCTGCTGGTAACATCTGCGAACAGCTGCTACAGCGGTTCGAAACCCACCACGGCCAGGGTAATCTCCTGGCCCTAGTCCCAGCTCCCGCCCACCCAGCGGTTCGAAAGCAAAATAACATCAAAGAGCGAGTAGATAAATGGGTACCTGCCCTAGGTGGCAGGAGGCACCCTCCTCCGTTGTGGGGTCTGATGGAGCATTGGCGGTGAGCGGCGATGGCGGAATGACGAGCGGTGGTGGCGACGAACGAAGTGGCAATCAGTGGCGGCAAGGAGGCGCAACACCAGCGGTGGATCGGACGTCAGCGGAGGCGGAGCCAGAAGACGCAAAGGACGTAAAGGCGCAGGCGCGGCGGAGCCAAAAACGGTGGACAGAGCCGGAGCCGCGCTGACGCCAGATGGGTCCGCCGAATACAGCCGACGCTGAAGACCACCGGAAGGAGAAGAAGAGGAGCCAAAACTGAAAGCCGAATAAGCCGAACCGAAGAACAGCAAGTTCCTCCACTGGGTGCCGGTAGGGCAGTCCCCACCCCTCACTATGTGTGGCCATAGATAGGGATAAAGAGTAACTGTAAGCCGCTCAGAGACCCCTTGGGGTTCGAGCGGGATACAAGTCGAAAGCATATATAAATAAATAAATATAAATCTGAGTAGGATTCTGAGTAGTCTTGTTTAGGATGGCATCGTAAGTCTTGCTGCACCCAAGGCATGCTGTTGATGCCAGTTTTGTACTGGTACAGGGGTTACAGTTCCCCAACCTGGGGTCTGGCAACCTTACCCCCCCCCCCCCCCCCACCCTCACACGCTCCAGCTGGTGGCCAGGAGAGAGCTGGCAACTCTATTAGCCCAGGTGGGTAACTGTGTTGAAGCAGCAGAACAAAGTTTGAGTACAGTTGCACTTTTAAGATCACATTCAGACAGGTCTTTAGATCCGACCCAGGCACAAATGCCTGGTGGATTTAAAGGGAATGATCAGACAGCGACATCTGGGAAAGGTGCCGCTTCCACGATCAGCCCGTTCAGCCCCGCCAGGAAACCGGAGTTTAAAGATACCGGTGAAAGTTTGGGGCTAGTGCTTGCCAACGGGCCAAGGGCGGTCTTTCCCCCCGTCTGATCGTTCCAGCGTGCAAACAGCTGCCATTTTAAAAAATACTCTTAGCAATATGCACATAAACGCATGAACGTGCGACAGCCACTGAGCTCTGCTCAAGTGTTCCAAACAATTTCATGTTCCTGAATAGCCTGTGAAATTTTTGAAAGGGGATCTAATCCTAGAGAAGGAAGATACAGTAGGACTTTTCCCACACCAAATAATCCCTCCACTGTAAAAGAACCAACGAGATCACAGGACCTGGCATAGGGATTTCGGCTCCATGTACCACTGGTGGTGCTTTAACTACTCGATTCCACGCATGCGTGGAAAACCAAGTATGTGGTGAGGCACATATGTGCATGCACAAACAGAATTTAAAAAACTGATCACAAGGCTCCTTTAGGTGGACGCCATCTAGACAATCCACCACGGAGTCTGCATTAAGACGATTCACAGGGGAGCTGTCTGGTCCTACAACACCGGATAAAAAAGATCACAATCAAATTAGAGCTGGGGCAACAGCGGGATTGCCTGCCTGTCTGAACGCGACCAATGACCAACAAAGTTTTATTCAGAGTATAAGCTTTTGTGTGCAAGCACACTTAAGCTTATATCTTCTTCAGGTATCTGAAGAAGTGTGCTTGTACACGAAAGCCTATATCTTCTTCAGGTATCTGAAGCTTATACCTTGAATAAAATTAAAGCTGCCACTGGACTCAAACTCTTATTAGCCACTGTGTGAGACAGGAAGCTTGACCTGATGGACTACCAGTTTGATCCAGCAGTTGGTATTGTGGAGTTTCTGATTCAATTGTGATTACATGAATTAATGAGATTTCTGTTACTGGGAGGTTATGGCTATCCACCTGGACCCTTTTTCAGAAAGATGGGCCAGTTCGATGTATGGTTAAGAGTGGCGGACTCTGATCTGGAGAAACAGGTTTGACTCCCCACTCCTCCAGATGCAGCCAGCTGGGTGACCTTTGGCCAGTCACAGCTCTCTGGGAGCTCTCTCAGCTCCACCTACTTCACAAGGTGTGGGGAGAGGAAAGGAAGGTGATTGTAAGCCACTCTGAGACTCCTTCAAGTAGTGAAAAGCAGGGTATAAAAACCAAGTGTTCTTCTAAATGGAATTTTGGGTATTAATGTGAGTTTGTGAGGTGTCGGTAGTGGAAAGTTTTAACATAGCTGTGGAGTTTCTATGACGAAAAATGTTGTAAAATTGTTGTGAGAGGAAATACACCTTGGAGTTAGAACAGTTCTGTGACACAAGTTAGCCAACAGATTTGGCTGGGGTTTCCCCCCCCGCTTTCTTTCTTTCTTTGTGTGCTCTCCCTCCTCGGGCACTGGTCAGCCCTTCCCGCGCTTTCCCGTACAACAGGGGCGCTGCCTCCCCACAAGGGGACCAACGCCGCGAAGGCTGACCTCCCCTTCCCTTTCCGTATTAATGACATCACCGCTCCTGCTCGCTTTCCCGCCCACAGTGACGCAATCCCTCCCTTCCCACCACCTCCCACCACCACCTCCCGGCCTTTGCGTGTGTGCCTGCGTTTGGCTCCACACGGACACAGCGGGGGGGGCCAGAAGAGGAAGGTTGTCATCAAGCGCCTGGAACAGAAGCTAAAGGGAAGGTGCCGGGAAGGGGGGGGGGGGGGGGCCTTCCCAGAAGAGGAAGGTTGTCATCAAGCGCCTGGAACAGAAGCTAAAGGGAAGGTGCCGGGAGATGGGAAAGGGAGAGGAGGGGGCGTGGCTTCAGTGGGTGACAGCCACGGGGCGGGGCGGCCACGGGGTTGTCAGCGCGAGGAGAGTCCGTTTGGCTCAGCAGTGTGTGGAGAGCGGTTGCGCGTGAGCCCGGGCGCTGCTGCAGGAATAAGTGGGAAGGTAGCGGCGGCGGCGGCGAGAGAGAGAGAGAGAGCGCGCGAGAGCAGAGAGCCCGACGGGGGAGGGGCACCTGAGTCGGCGAAGGCGAGAGAAAGGAAGAAGGGGAGGGGGGCGAGGAGGAGAAGGAAGAAGAAGAAGGCGGGCGCCTCTGTGAGGGGCTACGTGAGGGCAGCCGGCGAGTGGGCGGGGCTTCGCCTGCGCCTGGCTGTATAGTCGCCGCCGGCGCTGCCGCCGCCGCCGCAGCCGCTAGGAACCTCCCCCCTCCTCCCTTTTCCCTCGGTCCGGCGGGGATGGCTGTGCTGGATCTGGCCCTGGAGGGACTCGCCATCTTCGGGCTCATCCTCTTCTTGGTGCTGTGGCTCATGCACTTCATGTCCATCATCTACACGTAAGTGAGGCCTCTTGGCTCGGTTTCTCTCCCCCCCCCTCCTCCTCCATTCCCTTGCCTCTCGTTCTTTCCACAGCGTTGATTTGGGGATGCGAATTTTTTGGGGGTGGGGGGATACTCCTCCCTTTCTTTATTATGCTTTTCCACCCCACCCCAGTTATGCGCTTCCCACGCTTTCTTCCCCCCTTCCCTTTAATGACTTGCATAGGTGAGGAGGCACCTGCCCGGTCTACAGAACTGATGAGGCACGAAGGCTGGGCCACCGTACCCAGGTGCTGGTGTGGGCGTGCTCCCCCACCCCCGCGCTGCCTCTCCAGTCTTGAGCTCTTTCTCCCACCCCTCCCCAGATCCATCAGTTGGTGTGTTCCCCATCCCCAAACTGCAGAGGCTGTATAGCTTGTTAATTTCACTTAGTGTCAATAGCTTGGTTTTATCTCCCTCCCTCTCTGTTAGAACAGAGCTGTAATTTTTTTTTTTTAAGTGTAAACAGAAATACGGGTAAAATACGAACAGCTCTGTGCCACTGTTTACAACTTCTGAAAATTTCTGCTCATCTTTTCACAATGGCAGTGTTTTAAATACCTGTGTGCACCTATTGTACTTGAACCCACAAGGCCCGCTCTGGTGCTTTCTGTGGATCATCTGTATACTTGACTGATCCCTCCCCTGAGAGTACCTTTTGGTATCTCACTGTGCAAGTGTTCTTGAACCTGTTCCTCATGATATTCATCCTTATGCCTGTGGACATTCCTGCCTCTACAGTGTGTTTTGTCCTTCTGGAGAATTGGTGTGTGTGTGCAGGTTGTGGACCAGGTTACAACTATAGCCTGAGAGGGTCCTCTGTGTGGATCCTGAATTGGTGTGAAATCTTCCTGCACCTACCTTATATGTTTTGGGCCAGAGGACCCTCTGTAGTCACTTGGGCAGGGCATTAGGGCAAAGCTTGTAAAGGCATATTTTAAACAAGATAAGTACTTTCTCTAAAGATACATCAATACCAAAGTACAAGCTTTGCCCTAATGCCCTGCAATATAATTATGCATATGCTGTAGTTAAGTGATATCTTTGAGGTAATGGCTTGTTTGTTGGCTTAATGTTAATAGCTTGCGTTAGTGCTGAATATTTATCTTTGTTTTCCTCAATTATGACAGAGCTACGGTATTTTATGTGTTCAACTAAACTTTAGTTGAAATGAATTCATTGCTGCTCTTAAAATTACTTTCCAGCCCAATTACTTCAGTTGCTTGTGCATAAATATTAAGTCTAACCTTGAGTAGATTTAATGTGTTTGCTTTTAAGGCTCATTCAGGAACACAGGTGTACATTGTCCTATTATTCCTGTTTCAGACTATGCTAATAGCGTGGTTTGAAGTAGGATATAAAATAGTCATTTATTTATTTTTTAAAAAGCAGATTGTTTCTGTACATAGCTATGGTACTATAAAAAGACAGAGCAAATGTTTGTTGAAATATTCCTAAATAATGAAATTACGCTCCTGGGGTTGGAAAGACAATTTCATGGAAGAGTTTTCTGGGAAAATATGTCTTTCACTTTGGTACAGTGGGTGGTGTGTTTGTGGAAAGGAAGAAGTATACAGGAAACATTATTTGGAGAGGGAACTTATTTGGAGAAGGAACCTTGTCTTTCTTAATGTCCATATTTCCCATGACTGCCCTATATTGCAAAGGATACCACACAACATCTTACAAAATGAATTCAGTGCCATTCTTAAAATTACTTTAAAATTTCAGCCTCTATCCTGGAAAACAATTAGTTGCTTATACTTGCAAATATTTAGGACTGAGGTAATGACTGTTTAGCTAATAAAGCTACTAATGAATTTGGAATAGAAATGGTGCAGCAGCAGTTGCCATGTGAGCCAATTTATGAGTCTTAATAATTTGACTGACAATACTCTAACAGCTCCCCCTTCCCTCCTTAAACTCCTCAGGGATAGGTGTGCCACGCCCACTATGGTATATTGTTTAAATATTATATAGTAGAAGAATAATTTCATGCTATGTAAACATCCCATGAAACATTTCTTGCACACTGAAATCTTGGAAGTTCTTGAAACTGCAAAATAACTATAAGGTGTTATCAGGTAGACTTGCTAATCACTAAAAATGTAAGATTCGGAAGGGAAGAACTAATTCCTTCACTACTAGGATGAGATATATCCAACAGTCTGTACTACTCTGAACAAAAATCATTTTGGGTGAATTCAGTTAGCCCACAGGCGATGTCACCTTCTGCCACACCATTGTGTGAGTGTGCTGCTTCAACATCTTGCAGTACAAGTGCCTGCTTGGAAGTTTTACTGAGCACTATACCTAAAGCAACTTAATCCGTGCATGGCCATTACATGAGGACTGGTAGCTGCTATCATAATAACTGGAGCAGTTGCTCTCATTTGCGAAGACTGAAAAATAATCATGGGAATACATATGCTCTTATTGTATACCTGAGTATTGGTTCTAAATTCTTGTCACTAATATGTTCAAAAATATTTTGTTAAGGTCCTGCTAATAATTTCATTATGGCATTTATCACCTGGCTTTAAAAACAGAGCTATTCTTCTGTGTTTAAGTTCCACAAGGAAGAAACTGGTGTGCATACAGTGTTTCAGTCAGGACACAATACCTATTGCAACAGTTCTTACAGTACACTAGTTGTTGCCTTACAGAACTGGACTGTATCTCATGTGTAACTTGCATGGCTTCAGGATAATTCCTGGTCTGCACCCTAGAATTAGAAAGTAAAACTTCTTTAAAGTTTAATGGCTGTGTGCTATAAAATGGACATGATTGCTCTCGAATCCACATGAGCCACTTTAATAAAATGGGTCCATATTGTATGGGGTTTTAAAATACTCAATTAAAATACTTTTTTTGGCATATATCTTTACTTTGTGGCCCATTTAGGAATTTGGCAGTCATTCTGATCCTATAAACTATGCATAGTTGTCTCATTTATGAGTTTGATACCGCATTTTGCAAGTGGCAGCAGCTTTTTTGGAGTCCTTTTAGTTTTATAGTAACAGAAGCTGTACATGGATTCTTACTTTAATGATAAGTGTTTAGGCCTTAGTTTCCTTTAAAAAAAAGGTACTAGTAGGTGCATTCAGATGTTGTTGTTTGTGCATCTAACTCTCACTATGTAAGCTGGATACAAGAGCAAATCTGTTTGTTTGTAGCAGAGGGAGCATCTTTTCTGTCTTTGCCTCCTGTTGTAGCACAGGGAGCATCTTTTCTGTCTTTGTGACCAAGTGACTGCAAAGGGCAGCGCTACCTGACAAACTCTGATTTGTGAATTCAGACTTTTCAGCAAATAATAGTAGAAATTGTGTTTAACAAACCCAGTTTTGCTTATTGTGGCGCATGTGTTGTGATGTCAGCTTTTGTTTAGGCTGAACTAGACCACTACTTACACAGCATTTCTTCTGTGTCAGTAAGAGGAAATAAAAATGCACATTGTGTATGAATGGTAGCCTGAACGCCAGTGGCATTCCCCAGTGTGTCTCCTGGTACCCACTTGCTGCTTAAATCTTGGGGGTAGAATTTAAGGGGTCTTGAATGGAACAGAAAAAAAAAACCCACCAGGGAGTTTCAGGTTATTCCCATATGAGCTCATCCCAGACAGGTGCAGCATATGGAAGCACAGAGGAGCCAAGCCCTAGGGGTATCTGGTATCCAAGCCTGGGAAAGAAAGAGCTGGTAGCTCTGTGACTTCCCCACATGGCCTGCGTCTGGCACTTTTATTCTCAGGGGAGTTAAGGCGATCATGGCAGCAGTGGATGACTACTCCACATCCCAATGCTGGATGAGGCTCAGTTAAATGTGATGCTGGCAAGGCAGACTTGCTCTCCCATGGGACTCTGCACTCACACAGCGTCTTGTTTAAACAGAGGCACTTGAGCATCCTTTAGGTGCATTCAGTTCTGAATAATTTAGAAAGCAGTTGTTTCTAAATTATAAATTTGATAAAGGTCAGTAAACCAGTTATTAAGACACCTGTTCTATGGTGATTTTAGAATTGACCCTTAGAGGTCCTGACAGCAAGTTAATGTGTTCCTTCACCAGGGGGGGAAAACCCCTTTCAGTCATTCATTCTATACCAGATTCATTTCTATGGCTACAATATGGATATAGTGTTTGGTATATACAAATGTTTATCTGATCCACTGAGAATCCTTGAGCATACCTTGACTTTTCTTTCAAGAATAGCTTTTGCAAATCACCCTTATTGAGTGGAACACTGGTGGTACCCCTTCCAGCAAATTTTTCTGCACAAAATCAACACCTTCTCTACAGGAGAGAAGGCACAGGCCCCTGGGGGGAAAGCGGGGGGGGGGGAGAATTATTTTGAGCTAGAGGTAAACCTTTAACAACCCTTCTCTTCATGGGCACTCAAGTCTGTGGCCTGCAAAATTTGAGGGCAAAAATCACACTCAATTGGATGCAACGTAGTTTAGCTATAATGCTATCTGTCACATGGATTGCTCTTTCAATTATCTCTTGCATTCAGTGTCGTAATGTAATTGCTACTATTAGGGAAAGTAAGTGTCTGTGGAGAAGGGAAATGTAAGCGGGAAAGATCATTTAGTCTCCTGGGGTGAGTAAAAAATGACTCAGGAGAGACCATTATGTGCAGCTTCCTTTGTGAAGGCTCTCAGTAACCCACTTTCAGAAAAGGTGAAATGGCCCATCACAGATTCCTACACACAAACGCTTAGAGCCTTGTAAGACAGAGCTGTGTTCAGTTAGTGCGTTTCACTATTTCTGCTTCTCTGCAAGTGTGAGAGAAACAGCTCCATTCTCAAGGCTGCATGCTGAACTGATGTTTTCTTACTTCTGGGGCAAGTAGAATAGTCCCACACAATGTTTCCGGAACAAAGCCTTAGCTTACATAGGGCTCTGTGAAGAACAGTGTGCCAACTGGCTGGATCTGTCATATCTTTCTATCCCTGCAATGTGAACAGTAAGGCAAGGCAGCTAGC